CAATACTTTGTTGAGGGATTAGACGATCATCTCTCTCAGGCCTGCATCTACCGCAAAGTACCCGATCGGCTACAGGAGTGGTACCAAACAGCGGTGAAGCTGGACGTCAAGCTCTCTCGTTACAAGAAGCTTCCCTCTCCTGAAATGGGACCGAAACCAGAACGACTCAGACGACAACCAACACCCTGGAGATCCCCAACAACTGTGTCTACCGAAAGACCCAAACTACCCATAGGGCCTCCGCTCTTGTGCTTCCGATGCGGACAACAGGGACATCGAGCCGCGAACTGCTCAGTTCCCTACCCCCAACAACAGAGCAGACCGAGACCCGCAACGAAAAAGAAATCTGATCAACAACCACCGAGAGGGAAATCCAATCGGATCAAGCAAGAACTAGCTGTCCAAGTCACATCCCCTGCACAGGAGGACGCCGGTACTAAGGCTGGATCCCTCCCAGCTCTACCCTCTCTCGACAGTGAGGACGAAGGGGAGAACGACCCAATGGTGAGTCAACAAATCCCGCCTTTTTCACTAGCTGCCAAACTTATAATCCCTAAATCTGGGGTACAAATGAACTTAAATGTGCTAATAGAATCTGGATGCACCCGATGTATTATTAGTTTACCCTTTGCCTTGAAATTGGGCATTCGAGCAAAATCGCTCACTGAACCCATGAGGTTTGAGCAAGCCGATGGGTCTCTCATGGGGGGGGCTCTTGTCACTCAAGTAACTGAGCCTTTACGTCTAGAAATAGGTGCGCATTGGGAATTTATTCGCTTCCTGGTGGCTCCAAAAATGTCTGAGGCGGTGATCCTAGGGTTAGCCTGGTTAGACAAATGGAAACCATTCATCTGGTGGGAGAAAGGAGTGAGAACCGTGAGACTACCTATAGGGCCTGACCCCCCCATTGAGTCAACGGATGTTGCAGGACACCTTAGGCCACCCAACGAGCGAGCGCACATGGCCACTTCACCGCCTCCAGGCGACCCAGTCATCCCCAATGAATACTGGGACCTGGCAGAGGTTTTTAGTGAAAAAGAATGTGATGCCCTACCTCCTCACAGACCCAATGACTGCTCCATTGAACTGGTGCCAGGAGCCAAACTCCCACGACCCAGAATGTATGCTATGTCCCCCCTTGAAATGGAGGAGATGCAGCAATACGTGAACAAAAACCTAGCGAGGGGGTTTATTGAACGGGCCAAATCAACCATGGGAGCCCCTGTGTTATTCAAAGAGAAAAAGGATGGGTCTCTACGTCTCTGCGTGGACTACAAAGGTCTCAATGCTGTGAGTGTGGAAAACAAATACCCACTCCCCCTCCTAAAGGACTTATTAACCCATCTGGCTAAAGGGAGTGTCTTCACTAAGTTAGACCTGAGAGAGGCATACTACCGGGTAAGAATAAAACAGGGAGACGAGTGGAAAACTGCCTTCAACTGTCCAATGGGGAGCGATCAGTTCAAAGTCATGCTGTTTGGACTACAGGGGGCCCCAGCTGTATTTATGCAATTGATCAATGAAGTACTACATGATCACTTGTACAAAGGGGTTTTGGTGTATCTTGATGATATCCTGATATATAGCACGAACATGACTGATCACATAAAGCTGGTAAGAGAAGTGTTAAAGAAACTATTGAATGCCAAGCTTTATGCCAAACTGTCGAAATGTGAATTTCACCAAACCCAATTGGACTATCTTGGCTACAGAATTTCCAACGAGGGGATTGAAATGGACCCAG